TTTTTGTTATTGGAACATGTTTGGTCGCCGAGAACATTCCGTGGCGGGACTATAGGAATGCCGGGACGGTCGGTCCCTGCTCAACCTCCTCCTCCTCCTCCTCCTTTCCTCCTCCTCCTCCTCCTTCTCCTCCCCCTCCTCCTCCTCCTCCTCCTGCTCGTCGTCGTCCTCCTCCTCCTCCTCCTTCTTCTCTTACTTGCCAATGGCGCTACTGTGGCAATGATCCGCTGTCTCACCACGGTCTCCAGCAGCGAAGCTTCCGGCTCCTGTACTTGAGCGAGCGCGCGCGTTCATGCCGCCTGCCTTGACCTGAGATTGGACTGCAGGCGTCAACAGTTGCCAGGAGGGACAAACACACAGACACAAGTCATCGTCGATTGCCAAGAAAATCGGAGGTTGGGGGTTGAGATCGCAGTGAAACGGAGACCCCCCACCGGGAAATCGGTTTCGGTTTCGTGTTCGTGTCGTGCTTGCGGGCGAGGCGAAGCTGCGCGTGATACTCCTGTAGCTAGGCCGAAGTCGGAGCGAAAATCCGTTCCCGTCCGCCGGTGGCTGGGAGGTGTCCCAGTTGGGCTGGGCGGTGTCCAGGGTGTCCCGTGGTGGCCCGTGGTGTCCATTGGTGTCCCGTTGAGCGAGATCGATAGTGAGATCGATAGTGAGATCGACAAGTGTCCCGTGGTGTCCCGTGGCCCCTGTTGAGTGAGATCGATAGTGATATCGATGGTGAGATCAATGTGGTGTCCCGAGGTGTCCTGTGGCGTTCTATGCTGTCCCGTTGAGTGAGACCGATAGTGATCTCGATAGTGAGATCGATAGATGTCCCGCGGTGTCCCGTGGTGGCCCGTGGTGTCCCGTGGTGTCCCGTTGAGTGAGATCGATAGTGAGATCGAGAAGTGTCCCGTGGTGTCCCGTGGTGTCCCGTCGAGTGTGATCGATCGTGATATCGATTGAGTCAGATGTTTGTTCCCCGTTGAGTGAGATCGATAGTGAGATTAATAATGAGATCGACAAGTGTCCCGTGGTGTCCCGTGGTGTCCCGTCGAGTAGGATCGATCGTGATATCGATTGAGTCAGATGTTGGTTCCCCCCCCTTTCTTCCCCCCCCCCACAACCTCCTTATCACCCGAAGGGTGGTCGTATAGGTATGGGAAATTTTGGGAAGTGGGGGGGAAGACAAAAACCCAGAAAATTAAAGGTTGGGGGGTGAGATCGAAGTGGAACGGAGAGCCCCCCACCGGGAAATCGGTTTCGGTTTCGTGTTCGTGCGTGCCGTGCGTGTGGGCGAGGCGAAGCTGCGTCGGCGGGCGAGAGGAAAGTCTCCTGTGGCTGAGGCGCGGCCGGACCAAATGTTTCCCCCTCAGGCAAACGGGGCCGCGCGGTGTCCCGCCGGTGTCCCGCTGGTGTCCCGCTGGTGTCCCGCCGGTGTCCCGTCGTGGCTGGGCCACGGCCGGACCAAAAGGTTCTCCGCCCGGCAACCGGTGGCGCGCGATGTCCCGCCGGTGTCCTTCTGGTGTCCCGCTGATGTCCCGCCAGTGTCCCGTCGTTGTTCCGTGGTGTCGCGTGGTGAGATCGACAGTGAGATCGATAGTGAGATCGATCGTGATTTCGATAGTGAGATCGATAGTGAGATCGATAGTGAGATCGATCGAGTGGGATCGATAGCGAGATCGATAGTGGAATTGATAGTGAGATGAATAGTGTTATCGAAAGCGAGTTCGATAGTGATATCAATAGCGAGATCGATAGTGGGATCGAAAGTGGGATGGATAGTGAGATCGACAGTGAGATCGATTGTGCCCCATCGGTGTCCCGTCGGTGTCCCGTGGTTTCACGTGCTGAGATCGATAGTGATATCGATAATAATACCGATAAGTGGACCGAGAAGACCGATAGTGAGAACGATAGTGAGATCGATAGGATGGTCGATACTGAGATCAGAACGCAACACAACGATCTCCACTGGCATCGTCAGGACAACAATCACCACTGTTGCCCATTGCTGGCCCCCTCCCCCCCAAAACCTGCTTATCACCCGCAGGGTGGTCGTATAGGTACGGGAAAATAAGGGGAATCCTGTTTTTTGCGTGTATTTATTTGTGTCTCCCGGGGCCCCTTCAAATTGACCTTACACCCTTCGGGGGGGGGGGAGGGGAGGCGCGTGCAAGCGGGGGCGTGCGAGCGGGGAGGTAGGGGAGGGGGGGAGGAGGTTCAGGAGGGGAAAAAACACACAGACACAATTGATCGTTGATCCCCAGGAGAATACGGGAAAATATGGGAAGTGGGGGGGAAGACACAAACCAAGCAAATAGAGGAAATATGGAGGATCCATTTATTTGTGTGTAATTGTGTCTGTGTGTGTTTGTGTGTGTGTGTGTGTGTGTGTGTGTGTGTGTGTGTGTGTGTGTCCCAGGGCCCCTTCCTTCAGAGGTGCGGGGAACAAGAACACGGCCAAGGTGGGATTATCGCCGTCCGCTGTCGGCACCCGCAGGGAAAGCTAAGCTGCCCCACGTTCGAATGGCGGTGCCAGTGCTGCTGGGATGTTGGGCACAGCGTGACTCAGCGCCCGCAGCAATGAACAGGGATACACGTGCAGATGCAACTCAAGCAAGTGCTCCATGACCACCACCATCGCCATCTCCTGCCCCAGGTTGCACGCCAATGACCGGCTCAACTTGTCAATCAAAGCCCCACGCATCGCGCTAAACGGTTGTGGTGGGTAGCCGGGCCACTGTGCGACCCCGAAGCCCCGCTTCTCGCGGCTGCGGAGGGGCTGGCCATGCACGCGCAACTCCAAGTCGCCCCACTTGAACGGAGCCACCTGGGGTTTGCTGCACGTGCGGGCAACCAAAGACAAAGGAGCCGAGTGGCATAGCCGGGGCGTTCTCGAGAAGTCGAGAGTCCGCCGTGGGCAGCTGTGGCCGGGCTTGCAGCAGATGTGCTTGCCGTCGTCATCGAAGCATTTGCTCTTCACTTTCGCGAGCGGAGTGGGAGCTGAACTGCAGCAGGCGCGGCCTTTCCGGAGGAAGCGCGGCGAACCCAACAGATTCCGAGCAAAACCCCATGCGGTAACGTCCTTGGGCGCCATGTCTGGTCGTAGGGTCCACCGTGGGTCATGCAGCAAATCGCTGAGAAGTTTGAGATGCAATTCTTTGGGATCAACTGTCCAAGCTTCGTTCGATAACTTGTCAACAATGCGGTGTCGGGCATGGTCTGCTCCTCGCATCACTCGCTCCGCCTTGTCCCACTGGCCGTGGAGGGACCCGGCTGATGGCGGGGAAATGCCGCAGCAAGTGGCCTCCAAATCTGAAAACCCGATTGGGGAGAGCATGCCGCCCAGACCAGTTAGCTTCGGTGTTGCCCTGATGTTGCCACACCAAGCGGTGCACGGTGTTGCCCATCAGGCCAACACCGTGCACCGCTTCGGTGTTGGCCCGATGGGCAGTCTCAATGCGCCGGCGACCGCTCATAGCGAGGGCATGCATGCAGCCCGAGCCAGCCCAGCTGGGTTGCCCAGATCAAAGTCCGTCCTCCGAAACCCTTTCAGCACACGATTTGCATTGAATTTGGAATGCCACGCGAGACGACGATCTGGTTGGACCGTATGTTTCCCATGCTTGGTGGACGAGGTGCCGGAGTGCTGGCCTATTTCAGAAGATGGCTGGCGGAACCCGCAAGGGTTGTATCCAGAAGGGCGGTAGCTGGTGACGTCGGAGCAAGGACGTGATCCTTTTTCTCACGGGCAGGCTGGTGAACCGCGCTCCTCCCTTCTCCATCCTTGCCTCTGCCTTCCGCATGTTTGCCGTTTGCGGCGCACTCTTCACGCGCTTCGTGGCCTCGTAGATCACCAAAGACCACCCCAGAGGGAGCGTTCGCATGAGGTTCCCCAACCCAGTAAGAACGTTTCGTGGCCCCACAGAGAGCTCCATTGAAGAACCCAGGGGGAGCGTTCGCATGCGCTTCCTCCTGCCCAGTCCAGCTTTACGTGGCCCCGCAGGGAGCTCCACAGAAGGCCCCTCTGAGCGTTCGCATGCGGCTCCCCCACCGCAGCACTTCGTGGCACCATGGGGAGCTCCACCGAAGGCCCCAGATGGAGCGTTCGCTTGTGGTTCCCTCACCAAGTACAGCGCTTCGTTGCCCCATAAGAAGCTTCACCGAAGGCCCCAGAAAGAACGTTTGCATGGCGCCGCACATTACAACACTTCGTGGCCCCATAGAGAGCTCCACCGAAGGCCCCAGAGGGAGCTTTCGCATGCGGTTCCCCCACCCAGTACAGCGCTTCGTGGCCGTAGGACGCTCCACCGAAGACCCCCGAGGGAGCGTTCGCATGTGGCTCCTTGCCCACACGTTCCGTGGCGCCAGAGGGAACTCCACCGAAGGCCGCAGAGGGATTGTTCGCATGCGGCTCCCCCACCTAGTACAACGTTTCGCGGCCACATAAGAGGGTTCCACCGAAGGCAACAGAGGCGACGTTCGCATGCGGTTCCCCCACCTAGTGCAGCGTTTCGTGTCCCCACGGGGAGCTCCAACGAAGGGCCCCAATGGCGCTGCTCGCATGCGGTCCCCCCACCACTGCACAATGTCTCGTGGCCAAGTGGGAGCTCCACCGAAGGACCTAGATGCGACGCGCGCATGCTTCTTACACCCAGTATAGCGCTTCGTGACCCCGTATGGACATCCACCGAAGGCCCCAGTGGCCACGGCTGGATGTGCTTCCTCCACTCAGAACAGCGCTTCGTGGCCCCAGAAGGAGCTCCACCGAAGGCCCCAGCGGCCGCGACCGCATGCGCCTCCCCCACCCAGTACAGCGCTTCGTGGGCTCATGAGGAGCCCCTCCTAACGCGGCAACCACAACGCGGTATTCGCAGTTGCATATGGTTGGGTCCTTCGCCAGGATAATTTCTGATTCCTTCTAGCTGCTCTCTGTCCCATTCATCATCGCTTCCTCCCTCCACCTCCACCGTCCTCGCTCCATCCCTCGTGTCCTTCCCGCAGAGCTGCAGGAGTCCACCGACGGGCGAAAGGATGAGGCCGAGCTTCGTGCCCAAGAGGCTGCCGAGGAGGAGGCCGAGCACGCGCAAATGGTTGAATTTGATGCCAATAAGGAGAAGGCCGAGCTCGAGGCCAAGGAGAAGGCCGAGCTCGAGGCCAAGGTGAAGGCCGAGCTCGAGGCCAAGGAGAAGGCCGAGCTCGAGGCCAAGGAGAAGGCCGAGCTCGAGGCCAAGAAGAAGACTGAAGCGCCAGCGCAGAAGGAGAAGCTCAGCAAGGAGGAGCGCGATGCCAGGCGGAGGGAGCGGAACGCCCAGAAGAAGGCGGAGCGCGAGGCCCAGGAGAGAGCCAGCGGCGTTGCGAAGGCGGAGCCGCAAGCGGCGCTCGACGCCGAGATGAGGGTGCTTCAGTCCGCTGAAAGGGGGCCCGAGCAAAATAGTAGGAATAGTCCGCTGAAGGGGTGTCCCTCTACAGGAGGAATATTCCAAAATAGTAAAAACATAGTCTGGGGACGAATGTTTGACTATTTTTGAATATTAGTTGGAGTGTTGTTTGACCATGTTTTAGTTTTCGCACAAACTCCCCCTGTAGGGGGACAGGCCCGACCTAACACGATCCTGCACCCGACGGAGGGCTTGCTCGTAAGGGTCCTGCGAGCAGGACCCTCCGTCTGGAGTTTCCTCACGACGCTGGGATGACACTAGATCTGGCGAACTGCAGGTGGGCTAGTTCTGGCTCCGGTGCACTCCCACCACTAGATTGTGCGGACCTCCCTCGGCTTGTGCGGAGGGGCAGAATGCCGAGACCCCAGTGCCGCTGTCTGGGTGCAGGGTTACCTCCAGCACTGCACAGTGAGCACGGGCCTCTGCACGCGACAACGAGCCAAAGTACCGCATCCAGCTTCCACGAGAGCCTCGTTCACCATCTTGTGTGGAAGGCACTGAACAGGCTGCCACATGAGCCGCTTATGGACTCCCTGCCCGGACACCTGGGTCTCAGCATTTGTCGTTGCTATCTCTCAAGGAAGGCACGCTTCACAGATCACCATTTTGGTGTTGCTGAGTTTCGATCTGTATCTCCCAGTGCATCCCCGAGTTTGACCCCACTTTGTTTGTCCAGCTGGAAGCCCCACAAAGTTGGGGATTGGGGGTCTCCTATCGAGCGTTGAAGGGCACCCACAGCAGGGAGCTGCCAGAGAGGGCCTTGGCCCAATGTGCCCCCAGCTTTCCGCGCCACTTGGAGCCTCTGAGCCTTCTGGGCCTCGCGAGTGGTGCTCTGGCGCAGGGTCGACCTAAACGCTGTCGTGGCGATTTCGTGGGCCGTTTTCGATTCGATATCGTTTTGCCGCATAGGCGGAGTGAAGGCGAAACGATAGGGGAAAAACGAACACAAAACGAAAACGAGAAACACTGTTTTGGTCGATCCCTGCTCCGGTTGCCACCTAGTGTTCCCTGGAGAGGCATGTGCCACCTTGGGCCAGGGCCACCTCTGTCAGCACCCAACGCAGGAGCGCACGCAGGAGTCGCTCTTCGCGGTCGAATTCGGCCGCAGAAGCGCCCTTCTCGTTGGCCTCGGCTCGACGGCAAGAAAATAGTGGTGAGTGACGCATCGCGGGGCGCGACGCGTGAGATCAGGTGACCCGGGGGTCACGCGGCATCGCCGCAGCATCGGAGACGCCGCGACGCAGCGCAAGCCGCAGCTCCGTTCTTCTCCACCTCGACGCCTGCGCTCCGACGCTGCGAAACATCACCACCGGAGCCCTAGATCCCATCTTGCAGCTGCAGATCTGTGGCTGTCCTGGGGCCGGGCACCGGGCGAGAAGACGCCCGATGCGAGACACTTGTTTTACGCTGCAGCACGGCAGGAGCGATCCGCGCGGGCGCTGGAGTTGTTGGGGAAACGCGACTATCTCGTTGCCCACGATGTGAGAGACATGCAGCTCGCCAGCCTCGAACTTATCCCTATCCCTAAGACTGACACGCTAGAAGGAGATGACAGTCTTGGGGATGCACCCTCCGAAACTGAGGAAATCCCTAAGGTCGCCATCGTGATGAGGCGATGCCCAACATAGGGATAGGGATATGTTCCAGGGATATGTTCGTTGTCCACGATGTGAGAGACATTCGGGGGTGGACAGGCCTCCTACCCTGACACGTCGATTAGCGAATTGGCCGTCCTCGGTTCGCGAGAGGGCGCCGCGGCCGTCCTCTCTGCGGGTCCAGGTCCGTCGATTTCGGTCCCAGGCCATTTTCACTAAGGTCGGGGGAGCGTAAGACCCGGGTTTGCCAGGACTCGGGTTCGCCATATTTTTTTTGACGACCGCGACTCGGATTTTGACGAGGAGGAGTTTCGTGGGATGTCTGCAGCGGGAGGCCTCGTCAAAATGCACGCTCGGCCTCGTTATTTTTTTGACGACCTCGTCGGGGATTTCCGAGTCCCCCGTACCCGGGTCTTACGTCTCCCCGGTAAGGGGAGGCTCCCTAAAGGGAGGTTTTGTCCACCGCCGAGACACGCAGCGGACGGACGTCGGGAGAGTGCCGCCGACACCTCGGCGACTTGCGCGGGCCGTCCTCCGACCCCTCCTCTTGCGCCCGGCCCCGCTCTGGCGGCCCCCCCGGGCAGGGCCGGACCTGAGCGCCGTTTCGCTGGACGTCGGCGGTGTGCTGTTTTTATCTCTTTGGGAGAGAGCGCTACAGTTTTTTGTTGATTCGCGGGTCGAGAGCGCACCTCTTCCGGTCGAAGCTGAGCGGGCCGCGCGAAGCTGGATTCAACCAGGAGAGGGGGAGGGAAAGGGGGGGCGGAGCCTCAGAACGAGGCCGGGAGGAGGCAAAGCCTCGGGATCAGGCGGTGCCGTAGTCGAGGGGGAGAGCTACAGGAACATTAGGGTAGAGCAAGACGAACATTAGAACGGAAGCAAGACGACAGACACAGTTTGGGTCCAGCCCTGCCCCCAGGTGCATGTTCCTTCGCCGAGGGCGGCCGGGTGCTATCTACGCCTGCACGACGGGTGCCCGCTGCATCCCATCTCCTCGCAGGCCGTCGGGCAGGTCCAAAGGGGGGGTCACCACTACAGGGGGAGTAGCCTCCAGCTCCTCCTGGAAGTCTCGGAGGTTGATAGACCTCCTGCCCTTGAGTCGGGCCTGTTCCTCTACAGGAGGAACGTTCGAAAATAGTCAAGAATATATTCAAGGGACCATTTGTTTTACTATTTTTGAAATAATTGGAGTATTTTTTAAGCATCTTGAATTTTTCGCCCACGATCCCCCTGTAGTGGGACAGGCCCGACCTAATCCTACCCTGGCATGTCGATTAGCGAATTTGCCGTTTTCGGCTCGCGAGAGGGCGCCGCGGCCGTCATTTTTGCGGGTCCAGCCAGGTCCGTCGGCTTCGGTCCTTGGCTGTTTTCACTGAGGGGAGGTTTACGCAAGGGAGGTTTGTCCACCGCCGAGAAGTCGAGGCTTCAGGATCAAGGCTCGAGGAGGTTTTTGGACGTCCAGGTCGTGTTTCGAAAAAGAAAAACCGTCGTAAACATAAACTAGTGGCGCTCCGCGCGGACTGCTTGGATCCGTGCTGGGCCCCCCCGGCGGCACCTCCGGCGCGCCAGGGAGGGGGGTCCAGCACAGGTCCAAGAAGGTCCGCGCGGAGCGCCAAAAGTTTATTTGTGGCGCGTTCTTCTTCTAGCGTTAGCAGGCTCTGGAGTTTTCTTGGGCCCCACTTCTGCGAGGAAGGGATGCTTCCTCGAGAAAGTGGCAACCCCTCCAGAGTGGCGACCCCCCTTGGCATTGCCCCAGGCCTGGCACCGCGTGCTCGCCGCGAAGGACTTCCACGAGTGCGAGGTGGCCAAGATCTCCATGGACAGCTTCTGCGGCCACGACAAGACGTCCTTCTACTACATCCCAGGCGCGTTTGCAACTCCTAGGAGGTCAATTTCAGCATCGGCGCCGGTAGATCCTTTATGTTGAAAGCCGGCTTAATCCGCCTAGTCCCGCTCCGGCTTGATCCTGTTAAATCCGTTTGAATCCTTGGCCGGTTCTGGCGAAGTTTGGCTGAATTGCCAATCGGGCTCGTTAGCCATTAACTGTTCTCACGATGTCCTCCCAGAAGTTTCCTCCCAACCCAGGCGAGGTCAGCATGAGCCCTGACGAGCCAGGCATCGACACGTCGCGCCTGTGGACAGTGACGGCCAAGGACTTGGCTGCGGCGGACGCGGCGTCCATCGCAAGGGCCACCGGGGCCGCGGTCGCGACAACCGCGGAGCTGCTGAACGCGGTGGTCGGGGATGGACAGACCTCCCTTTAGTAAAACGTGGTTTAGTGAAAACGACCTGAGGCCCAAACCTGGCGGGCGCAAGCCTGGGAAATAACGGCCACGGCGCCCTCTCGAGAACCGAAAACGGACAATTCACTAATCGACGTGTCACTGTTGGGGGTTCTGTCCACCCCCGAGGTGGAGATCGCGACCAGCACGATGGCGCCCGAGGATGCGGCCTCGATGGCGAGCACCACCGCGGGGCCGCCGCCGGAGCAGGCGAGCGCCTCGGGGGCCGCGGCGCAGCCGCTCGCCGGGGAGCAGGAGCCCGAGGGCACGGCGGCCGAGGCCGCAGGGCGCTCCCGCCCCGCGGCCTCCGCAAGATGGAGGAGGAGGGGAGGGGAGGAGGAGGAGGAGGAGGAGGAGGAGGAGGAGGAAGAGGAGGAGGAGGAGGGAGGAGGAGGAGGGGGAGGAGGGGAGGAGGAGAGGAGGAGGAGGAGGAGGAGGAGGAGGAGGAGGAGGAGGAGGAGGAGGAGGAGAGGAGGAGGAGGAGGAGGAGGAGGGGAGGGGGGAGGAGGAGGAGGAGGAGGAGGAGGAGGAGGAGGAGGAGGAGGAGGAGGAGGAGGAGGAGGAGGAGGAGGAGGAGGAGGAGGAGGAGGAGGGAGGAGGAGGAGGAGGAGAGGAGGAGGAGGGAGGAGGGGAGGAGGAGGAGGAGGAGGAGGAGGAGGTGGAGGAGGAGGAGGAGGAGAGGAGGAGAGGAGGAGGAGGAGGAGAGGAGGAGGAGGGGGAGGAGGAGGAGGAGGAGGAGGAGGAGGAGGAGGAGGAGGAGGAGGAGGAGAGGAGGAGGAGGAGGAGGAGGCGGAGGAGGAGGAGAGGAGGAGGGAGGAGGAGGAGGAGGCGGAGGAGGAGAGAGGAGGAGGAGGAGGAGGCGGAGGAGGAGGAGGAGGAGGAGGAAGAGGAGGAGGCGAAGGGCGAAGGGCGAAGATCAGAGGAGGAAGAGTTACAGCCGGACCGAGGCATAAGATCAGGGTCGGTTCGGGGAGGGTGCCTAGTGTTTTTAGTGGCTGCTGGACGTTCTTGTGCACCCTGGGGGGGGCACCATTGCATGTTCTGCGTGTTCTGGCCGGCGGAGGGTCTATGTTCTTGAGGGATGTTCCTCTGGCCTAGGTCCGACTGTACCCATACGGCTACCCTTCCCTGATTTTCGCCTTGTTCGGCCTCCGAGGAGGCCCTCGTCGCCTCCGCTGGATTCGCCTCGACATCCCGGTCAGAACGCACCCTGGGAGAGATCTGGGGAGTAGCGGTATGAGTACCGTTTGGTATCTCCAGAGGAGTGCCGGAACGCGGCCCAGGGCGAGTGGTGCTACCGCGCTGTGAAGTACGCCATGGAGAGCGGCATCGGCACGCATCCGGAGCGGTACCCGGGCCTCACCAAGGACTCGCCCTTCGCGGACTTCCAGACGTACTTCCACAAGTACGGACAGGCCTCCTGCCAGAAGCCCTGCCCTTTCGAGGCCCGCCGGGCCCGGACGCGGCAACGGCGGGGCAGTAAGCGTGGGCGGACAGATGCTTGCAGGAGAGCGGCCACAAAGGGGCCGCACGTGGCCCCCAAGCTACCGCCGTGGGCCCTCGAGGTCAGTTCTTCCCCCTCCCCCCCCGGGCGCCCGTGCACCAGAGCTTCCCAGGCGTTCACTCGGCCCGCCGGGGCCTGCCCCTAAGCCTAGCCCGCCGCCCTTGCACGGGGTCCGCCCTGGGCTTGCCCCCGCAGCCCACGGTAGGCCTCGGGCAGACCTCCCCCGCCCTCGGTTTCCCTATAGGCCATCCTGTAGCTCTGGGGAAAAGCCTGGGGCTGGCGTGCCCTAGGCATACCTGCGGCCTTCCCAGGAGCACCCTGGGCCTGCCTACCTGAAGCCAGCCCATACCCTGCCAAAACCTGCCCAGGTTTGCCTACGGGATGGGGGGGGCCTCTGCGTCTCTTCCTCCGCATCCTCCTGATCCTCCGCCCCGCCTCCTCAGGAGGGAGGGATGCGCAGGTCGGAGGAGCAGCAGGATGAAGAACAGGACGTAGGATCCGAATGGAGGGCCTCTCTCATCTTTGTCGTCGTCGTCCTCCTCCTCCTTCTCCTCCTCCTCTTCCTCCTCCTTCTCCTCCTTCTTCTCCTCTTTCCTCGAATACTGTGCGAAGGGAGAGGGTCCAGAGGAAAACGTGCGAAGTATACGTTGGAGAGGTGAACGTCGAGTTCAGAGTTGAAAGCATCGGCTAGAGCGTCGATAGCACAACCAGCCACATCGTCCTCCCTTCTGCTATCGCTCGCCATCAGCGCGACACTCACTGAACAGTTGATTTTGGTTTTCTCTCGCGCGCTATGCTGGTTGTTCTTCTTCCACTTGTCATATTCGCTCTGTGATGTGCCGTTTTTTACACTCTCAATGCTCGGGACCCAGCAGCCCGCCCGAATATGTGGGGAACTGCCCCAAGGCCCAGAACCGGGCACCTGGGAACCTGGCCGCCTGCGGGAATTGCCGGCGCCCTCTCGCCCCCAGGCTACCGACACTGGCAGCCGATTCTCACCAAATCTTTTCAATCTCCGCGAGGGCGCCTTCAGGCCTGCAGCGTAAGCTCTGTTTGATACAAGAGTCACGGCGGTCGTACTCTCCGTACATAGCTCGCACGTGCAGTCGGCCCAGACCAGCAGGTCGACCCTGCCAAACCGAGGGCACCCCTGTGTCCCGTGCCTCGCGACCCGTGCCTCCTTGCACTCCTGTGGCGGTGTGGCCCTCGGATGGGTCTTGCGCCCTCTCGCGTGTCCTGCCCGATCGAGTCCGACCGTACAGTCGGGGCCCTGAAGAAGGAACCCTTTTCGTTGGGGAGGGGCTCCGCGTTCCTTAGTTGTTTCGCAGCTCGCCTTGGATTTTCCTTAGGTTTTCGACCCGAAGTCGAAGTTCAACTCATGGCTCATGGAAAATAGGGGCCTCGTTCCTTAGTTTGGGCTCCTTAGGTCAAGGCCCCGACTGTAGGGGTTTCTCCTGGCGCCGTGGCCGAGGTCCGCCCGGTGCCCGGTGGGCTGCCGCCCGTGGGGCGCCCCGCGGGCGCCCCCCGTGCGCCCGGGGGGGTCTGCCGGGGCCGCCCCTGTTTTGGGAACCCCCAAACCGAGTGGTGAGATACCAGGTGGCGACCTGGAATCCCCAAAAAGGTCACCGCTGGGTTTGGGGACGCGGGGTCACCACCGGGTTTTGTGACTCCTGGAACCACCAGTGTCCGGGACATCGTCGGAAAACCGCACGAGTCCCCAACCGGGTGGTGACACCAAATCGCCCGAGACTCACCGCCAGGTGTTGTCACCACCACGTTTGGGGATTCCCAACTCTTCGTGCGCCGGCTGGGTCTGCCGGCGGCGCTCTCCCGGTGCCCGCCGGTGTGGAGTCGGGCCTGTGCCTCTCTACGGTGGTCCGGGGGCCGTGTTTTGACCATTTGGGGGGGGGCCCGTGGCCGCCCGCGGGCGACGCGGGGCCGCCCCTTCGTGCGCTGGCTGGGTCTGCCGGCGGCGCCCTTTGGTGCCCGCCGGTGTGCCTGGCATCGCTCGGACGTGTGCATTTTTCCTTCGGGGAGGACCATCGAGGAGCATCCTTGATCATTTGGCGAAAAAGCCACGCACGAAACCGAACAAAAACACAGGGAATGGACGTCCGAGCGATGGCCAGTGTGAAGTCGGGCCTGTCCCTCCTACTCTGGGCGCCCGACATGGGCACGGAAATAATGGGTACAGTGCCCAACAGCAGTTCCTGGTCATTTTGAACCGGATTCGCTGTCCACGCCGCCGTGGCCTGTGTCCATTCGAGACAGAAGGCCGCCTGCCCCGCAGCGGCCGCTGTTGGTTTGGGACAACATTTGTTGGTGGGCATTGTGCCCATTCTTTCCGTACCCATTTCGGGCGTCCAAACCTACGGGGGAGGTGTTCAAAAATTGTCAAAACATATGGTCCGGACTTTGTGGGCCCCGGAAACGGCAGGGCCGTTTTTTCACCGTTTCCACATAAATGTTCCTTGAAAATGGAACGGCAAAAACAGCTCCAGGATTGGAACCGGAGCTGGGACCGGTCAAAAAACGGCGACGGATCCGGTAAAACAACTGTGTCGGAACCGTTGAAAAAAGAAAACGGCAAAACGAAACCGGTAGGAAAAAACGGCCCTGTCGTTTCCAGGGCCCACTAAGGTCCGGGGCTGCGTTCTGACCATTTGGGGGGGCATGTTGGTTTTGCGTGTATGTTTGGGGTCTGTTTCTAACATGTTTCGCCTCCGCCGCCCTCCCGCGGGCGCGGCGCCGCTCCGGTCGCTCCCGGACCTCGCGCTGCGCCCACTGGCTCGGCACTCTCCGGGCCCTCCCTCTGCAGGAGGAAGATTAAAAAATGGTCACAAAATAGTCCGGGCATTCTTTTTGAATATTATTTGATTTTTTAAAGTAGATTAGTTTTCTTTATTGACTGAGTATTATTTGAGTTAGTACGTGATTTATTACTTTTAAATATTATTCGATGTTTGAGTTTTTTGAATATCATTTGACCATGTGTTGTTTTATCATAGCATTCTTGTTTTACTTTTTCGTCGGAAGTTTCCCTGTAGGGGGACACGCACGACCTGACGCCAGTGGGCGCCTCGAGGGTGCCCCGCGGGCGGCCGCCCGGGGGCGCCCCGTGGAGGCCCCGCGGGGCCTTCCTAAGAAGCAGCCTCCTTCTGAGAAGCCCTCTCCTCTCCCTTCTAAAAGGCAGCCTCCTCCTAAGAAGCCCTCCCCTTCTAAGAAGCCCTCCCCTCCTCCTAAGAGGCTCTCCCTCTCCCCTCTCCCCCTCCCTCCCCTTCTAAGAAGCCCTCCCCTCTCTTTCTAAGCAGTCCCCTTCTAAGAAGCCCTTCTCTAAGCAGTCTCCTTCTAAGAAGCAGCCTCCTTCTAAGAAGCCCCTCCCTCCTTCTAAGAAGCGCACCGCCAGCCTACAGCGAATCACCGCCGCCCCCTGCCCTTTGGAATCGCCCACGTGGCCGAGAGTTGTGACATGAGCTCTGCCAAGCTATCGGACCATGTGTTGCCCCAAGCGTTGTGGAAACCCTTTGGGGAACACTTGGGGGAGGATGGCGGGAAGGATCAGGAGGAGGAGGAGGAGGAGGAGGGACGAGGAGGAGGGACGAAGGCAATAGGAGGAGGATCATCGGACCAGCGAAGCATCAGTCTCATCGCAGCTCTCCAGAGTGATTGTGCATCCCTCGCCTGCCTGGCTCACGCCACGGGTCTTACGCCAAGCTGCCTGCACTGCACAGTCCTTGGCATCGCTCGGACATGTGCATTTTCTTTCGGCGAGAACCATCGAGGGCCATCCTGGACCATCGAGCAACAAAAAGTAAACCACGCACGAAACCGACAAATGCACGGGAAATGGACGTCCGAGCGACGTCCGAACGAGTTACTCTAGCCCGACAGCGACCAATGCGTGGTCGGCCGCTTTGTCGATTAGAACGCGCGCACCTTCGGTGCCAGCGGGTGCCCAGAGAGGACATCGTCCTGTAATGTTCCATTGGTCGTCGGATCCTCGCGGCGTGATCTGGGCCTGCGCGCGCGTATCCCGCCATGTCCCGACCCCTGAGGTGTGGCTCCCTTGCCCGCCCCGCGCCATCCCTCCATCCCTCCATCCATCCTGCCCCCTTTCTATGCTTCAGCCCGTCAGGCGACTGCTGTGGAGGCGGCGACGACGCAGCTGGTGTCGCCGGGTGGTGTCATGACCAGTCCCATGCCCAGCAACCGGGAAGTTCCATTCCAGACCATCACGACGACGGCCCCCTTCCTCGTGGACAGAGTTGTCGCCGACGACGCGGCAGGCATCCTGGTCGGCTCAATCTGCGGGAGGGGTGGACTGTCGAACCCAGGCCCCTGACGTCGCGTTTTGTTCACAACGCGTGGACCTCCCCCAATTTTTGTTCACGGACGTGCTTGTTGTTCTGAACAAGGCGCCTAATTAACGCCCGAATGCCGTCTGGGTAGCCTCTTGGGCCGTCTTGGTGGTAAGTGGGTGCGCATGCAGAAGTAACCCCGCTTGTTGGGTTGGCGGTTCTTCAGGATCCATTTGGAGGGCCATGCATCACATGAGTACCGCGTGTCTGCGCTGCCTTTCGGTCCAATATCCTCCGCCTGACGGGTAGAATTCGAGGCCATGACCCCGTTTGCCCTGCCAACGTTGGGACCTCAGGCTGCTAGTCAGGGGGTGGGCAGGGCAGCCGACGATCCGATTCCATGCGGCTCGGTTCGCCGGCTGGGGCCACGATTCCAATGCGACTTGATTCGTAGGCATCGGCCTTGGCCAGCCAGAGTTTGGTGCGGCGATCCGACTTCGATTCGATTCGGGTCGATTCGCTGGCGATCTGATCCGTTTTCGTCCCGATCTGCACTCGCGAATAGATCTGGCTCATGCCTCGCAGGGAGGCATTGGGTGGGGGGAACAGCCTCGGAAAGCAGCCCTAGGACACAGGCCGCCCCGTGGGCTGAGGCGCTGCTGCGAGGCTTTCGGGAGCGCTCAAGCCTGACCGCGGCCAGTGGCCCAGAATCGGCTGGCATCGAGCGCTTTGTGCTACCGAGGAGCCGCAATCGCCCAAGGTTGAACGATCCTCGCGGTGCCATAGCCAACGCCGAAGTCGTCACGACATGAACGTGCCGTACGCGGCTTGTGTACGTGCTGAAACGTTGAGTGAATTGAGGGCCAGACGCGTCGACAAGCTTGTACGTACGTTTGGCGCTGGTCGTCTATGATGCAGGATGAGGTTTCCGGTGACACTCCTGGATGCCACAGGTGGGAGCTCCACGGAGATCAGGGAGAGCCTGCTCGGAGGGCGCCGCGGCAGCAACGCAGACGGCCCAGCCACAGGCAAACCACAGGAGGACGACTCCGCCCTGTGGCTGGATGCACTGATACAGCCCCAGACGGGAACCGAGGACAGCTCGGGCGCCGCCAAAGACAAGCTGCAACAGAATGCGTCGGACGGCTCGACTACAGCGGATGCTGCGGACGGTTCGGCTTCCACAGAGGGCTTGCACTGGGATCTCGGGAATTCGACGGACAGTCCGGCCGCCACTCAGGACTCGACCGCCGCAGAGCAGCCAGAGACCGCATCCGAGGGCATTCACTGGGACCTCGGGGACGCGGCCACCGACGTGGTGGGCAACTCGGCCCCCATGGAGAGCTCCACCGACGAGACGCAGCCCGAGAAGGAGACGTCTGACGACTCTGCCGTGTGGCTGGACGCGGTGGAGAAGCCAGAGCAGGGTGCCGCGGACGGCTCCGCTGCCGCGGACGATGCCGATGACGAGGACGAGACCGCCGGCGCCGCCGAGAGCTCGACAGCCACTGTGGAGTCACTGCAGGTGAGCATTGTTTAACTGATCCCTATCCCCACTGGCGTGGCCTGGGCCCCACCGGCCGATTCAGCCCCCAGATGGGGATACAGGCTGTTCCCTTTGGTTTCCGAGAGGCCCATTCCCAACTGGGGTGGTGGCATGGTGGCGCTGAGATGTCATGGCCCAGTGGGAAGGGGGGAAGGGTGAAACGATGCTGAGCAGGACCTGTGGGAAAGCCCGGGCCCCGCCCAGAGCTCGACGGCCGCGGGCCAGCCTGCGCAGAGTGCTGCGGCGGACGGCCCGATCGCCGCGGACGGCGCGGACAGCTCGGCCTCCACGCAGGACACGGCCGCCGCGGAGAAGGACGCCGCGGGTGACTCCGGCGCGTGGCTGGCCGCGGCGGTCAGCGCGGAGACCGGCGGTGCGGACGGCTCGGCCGCCGCGGACGCGGCCGACGTCCAGGGCGTCGTGTCCGACAGCTTGGCCTCCGCGGACGGCTCGGCCGCCGCCAGCCAAGTGCAGAGGGATGCGTCGGACGATGCCGACATCTGGCTGGATGCGGCGGAGAAGCCTGAGGCGGCTGCTGCGGACAGCTCGGCAGCCACGGAGAGCCCCAACGCCACGGAGCGGGCGGAGGAGGGTGCGGAGGTCACGCCCGACGAGGAGAAGGCCTCCCCCTGCCGAATCTCACTCTGCGCCTTTCCTGTGTCCCAGGCGGTCCTCGCACGATTTGTTTTCCTCTCGTCGGAAGGATTCTCTCTTCTATCTCTGCATGCTTGTGGTGTGGCGGGGAGGGTCAGCCGTTCGCAGCAAGGGAGGAGAATGGGAAGGGGAAAGGGAAAGGAATGAATGATAAAGATAGGTGGAGGGAGAGCGGAAGGGGGAACCAGAGATGCGGAGGGGAGGTTCATACGTAGCACCCCGAAGTTACGGAGGAGAGTGATGGGGCGGCGGGGACGTACCCGCTGCAGGCGCCTCATGATTGCAAGTTATGCAACGAACACGCCGCAGGCGCCGATTATTAGGTTAATGCAATGTGGGTGGATCGCGGGAGAGTCGCGGGTGGGTCGCGGGCTGGTCGCGGGCCGGGTCGCGGGTGGGTCGCGGGCCAGGTCGCGGGTGGGTCCTGGGCGGGTTGCGGGGTGGGTCGCGGTTGAGTCGCGGATGGGTCTAGGGGTCGGATGTTTGTAAATTTCCTCCCGGGATGGGGGGTGACCACGCGCAGAGGTTGGTCGGGAATTGAAGGAGATAGGGAATGCGGGGTAGTGTGAGGAGCTGGTTGTGGAGGAGGCACGGGCGGAGGTCTCTGTAGAATCAGTTCGAGGGATGAGTAGTCGTAGTCGCAGTAGTCGCAGTAGTAGAAGAAGTAGTAGTAGTAGTAGTAGTAGTAGTAGTAGTAGTAGCAGTAGTAGTAGTAGTAGTAGTAGTAGTAGTCGTAGTAGTAGTAGTAGTCGTAGTAGTAGTAGTAGTCGTAGTAGTAGTAGTAGTAGTAGTAGTAGTAGTAGTAGTAGTAGTAGGAGCAACAGTAGCAGTAGCAGTAGCAGTAGCAGCAGCAGTAGAAGTAGTAGTAGTAGTAGTAGTAGTAGTAGCAGCAGCA